GTCTGTTACTCTCTTCAGACTGTAACAGACAGGGGGGAGGAAGAATGTGAGTACAAAAAAAAAAAAAAAAAAAAGAAAGACAAAGTTAAGTCTGAAAGCTCACCGAGGTCTTCAGCAAAGCCTCGTCTTCTTCAGTTGCCCTAGCTGCAGCTTCTTCTTCAGCAGCTCTGGAGGACCCTTCTCCTCCTTCGCAAGCTTCGAGAACCCGTGCAACCTCTTCGGCTGTACGGGCAGCTTCAGCTTCTTCGTCCAGCAGCTGAAACCAGGGGTCTCTCTTCTTCCACCAAGGCTTCTGCCTCTGATACAGAGCAACAGCCTCAATTTGGAAGTGGGAAGAGTCTATATTAACTTCCCTCTGCCTCGGTTCAGTGATAGACGGGGCCCGATCAGTTACAACTCGTTCTCGGTTGACGCCAAGACGAGCGTAGTTAATGCCAATGTTGGTCTCGTCCCGTTCTGAAAAAGAAAAGGGAAAAGGTCAGTTCAGTTAGGTTGGCACAACATAAAAAAGCGAAGTGAGAGGAGAAAAAGAGATAATTAAAAAGCCTCGGCCCCAGCCGAAGAAGCTTACCATCCTTAAACTTTCGGCTGAGGCCAACAGCTGCTAGCATGTTCTCTTGGAAAACATAATGCGTATCGGGGAGCCAAGTCTCCGGGATATGCTGCATTCGGCCGCTGCCCCCCCGGTTCGGCAGCTTGCCGAAGATATTTTGTTGATCAAGGTTCGGATCCGGCCCGTTATCTGCGGGGGGACCTAGACTTCCCATGTCGGGATCAGGCTCAACAAGGTACCGGGGAGCGCTGAAGACGCAAGGGTGGCCCAGATCTGTGGGTGCCCTAACCCAAATCCATTGACCTCTCCAGTCCTTGTCTGAAGAGTCGTTCGGCCACATGGTTAGGTACTGGGGCCGGGACTCAATCCGGTACCACCCAGAACCATGGCTTCCGTGCCCACTTTGAATATTTGGCACTAGCCGATGAAGCTTTTTGAAGCAGTGCAGGTTCGGCACATACTTGAAGAACTTGCAGACCCATAAGTATGTCATCACCCTTCGGATGCTGGTGGGAGTTAGTTGACATAGGGAGATATTGTAATGGATCAGCAAGTCTCGGACGAATACGTCCAAAGGGAACCTCAGCCCATACTGAAGCTGTCTTGTGTACACCCCCACATACCCCGGGGGTGGACGATGGATTCTATCGGATGCCACGGGCATTCGGCACCAATACCCATCAGCTTCAAAATGCCGTAATGTAACTCAATTTGCTCGGCAAACCGATATTGTTCGGCATTCTCCACCCACCATGAGTAGGGGCGGTTCTTTATCATGGCTGAAGCTACTTCGGCATTCTCCCACTCTGAAAACCCGAGGAGGATATCCCAAAGGACAGCGGGAACTTCATCGTCCCGTCCAGAAGCGCTTGGCCCCTCCGTTCTTTGAGGAGGAGCCGAGGAAATTGGAGTCGCCCTAATCCCTTCAGCAGGGTCAGACTCTGGCCTTTGTCCATTCCAGGTCCCAATCATGTTCCTAGGATCGGGAATTGGCCTTGCTCTTCTTGGAGCACGGGCTCTACCTCTAACTCCTCTTGCCGTTGATTATTTCGAAGAAAAAAGTCGAAAAAAAAGGGAAGGAGTTCGAATTCGAAGAAAAATAAACTGAAATCAAAGGAATTTACCTTAATCTGAAGCGAAAGTTGCCGATTTACGAGTTCGTAGTGGCAAGTCTCAGTTTCTAAGCTTAATGCTCGGGGAATTTGCGAAGTTTTGATGCGGGTTCTTGGGTTCTCTCGAGAATTCTGGGTTTGTGTTGGTGAATAAGTGAGGAGAGATGACGCGCCTCTGATTATATCTTCAGAAATGGGAATACGGGGAGTCCGCGTTTCAATTTCTCTTAAATACCCCACTAAGTAACCGTTAAAAACACGACCTTGCGATTAAACTGCCCATTATCCGTCCAACTTCCACAATCATCCGCCTTAACCGTTGTTATCTCATTAATTACGGTTTAAATTCAAATTTTTGGATTAATTAAATCATTTACTTCCCTCCTTTTCTGAATTAAATCAAACCCGACCCGTCATCCTTCCAAATCGGGTCTGGGGGGCAAGTTGTTTGGGTCAAATTTAGTCCAATTGGGCCTAGGCATTAAATGATCCAATTAAAAGCCCAAGGTCAAGGTTCAACTCTCCAATTGTGCTAAAGTCAAAGGTCAGCCCTCAAAGCAAGCCAATTGGGCTAAGGCCCAACTTCTCCATGTATGAAGAGGTATAAAAGCCATCAATATTCATATATTCCCATTCATTCATAGATTCATATATTCTGATATACTCTCATATATTCTCATATATATTCTCATATACTCAAGAAAAGCCTCAAGCAACAAATTCTCTTGCATAGTGTTCTCTTTCTACACATTGTACTGACTTTAGCATCGGAGGGGCCTTCCTCGGCAACACCCCCGAGGCTAGTTTACGTGTGTTTACTGTGCAGGAAACCTTCGGCCCGACATAACTTGGACCGAATCCAGTCTTCTCCGTTTCAGCGGACCTTCGGCAAGGTCCCATTGTTTTCACCCGAAACATATAATATCATCTATCATTTAAGAAAGAGTGGTGGTTTGAAACTCTTTTATTACATATATAATGTTCCATCTTATAATCAAACTTTCTAGTTTTATGTTATAGGGGTTAGTTGAACCCTAAAAGTATAGGATATAGTGTGGATTTATGATTGAATGAAATATCTCCATCTCTTTGAGATGTAAATGGTAACAATATAATGTACTACTATGTTTTTCAAGATATGGCTTAGCTTGTACGTGTGATATAATGTTTTGAAATTAATATTGTGCATGATCACGTTGATATTGATTTCATTTGCCCTCTACTCCATTTTTGTCCTTGTATCTCGCTTGTCTTAGCAAATCTTTCAAATGATATTTGTAGAACTTGTGCATGCATGACATTAACAAATTAATTATTAAACTACTATCCACTAGCAGTAATGGCCAATACAAAAAATTAAGATGTGATATTAATAGTATTTTATGTCATTTGCATTTATTTTAATTTATTTTATTTTCTTTTATTTTTTGATTGTTATTTTATTAAATGAACAATAAATAAATTATGATCTAATCTATACAAGAAAAGTCATTCCTATCTTTCATGGAGGGAATTAAAACTAAATTTTTTTTTGTGATATTAACCGGTTAAGTAGCTATACAACATAATATCTATTTTACCCATCACATTCACCAAATCTATTGACACAATAAAGGTTTGATTTACTGAACTGACCTGATTGGAGCTGAATTGAACTGAATTTAATATTATATGAGAGAAGGAAATTAGGAACTGAACTGAACTAATTGGAGCTGAACTGAACTAATTGGAGCTTAACTGAACTAAAGTGAACTAAAATTAAGCTCAAGATAACAAACCCTAAGAAGCTTATAATTTACCTACCTGCACATAAGCATTGTGCCATTAACTCTCACATAAATAGTAGTACGACCAACAACTAATTGAATATACCACACGATTACACAAATATACTGTTGAAGATCGATATTAATAAATAATATATGAATAAAATATATTTATAACTTGTATGATTTATATAAAGAAAAAATCAATTATGTCCTTTTTTTACAGACCTGTATTTTTTTCTTATAAATAGGAATGACATAAAAAATCATAATATATATGTATGATATATATGGATTATATAAAATTAAAATATGATGAAACCTAAATGATCAATCAATCAATAACTATATACTAATTACTAAAGGCGAATAAAAAAATGACACGTGGTAAAATCTAGTTAAATAATTTTCCTCCACTTTTTTTTCCATTTTTTGTCAAATTATCTTAGGCAATTTTTATACACTATAATATTTTCTTTCCTACTTAAATGCAATCTTTCCGTCCAAAATTCAATAAAACATTTTTGTAACAACTTATAGAAAATTTAAGCAAAATAATATTATTTAAAAAGATATGCATAATTTTTAATATAATTAGCAGAATATCAAATTTTTTCATACTTATTATAAAAAAAATCATAAAAAAGTTTTTGAAATAAAAATATTTATAAATTTTGGTAAATCCGTGCATTGCACAGGACCATAAGCTAGTTATTATAAAAATGAGAATGTTTTTCATATAAATAAATTACATAATATATTTAATTTAATTTAATTATAGAATTGTATAGAATCTTAATTATTATTACTATATGTAATATGTATTCATAAATTTTTGGCATGCTTTTTGCTAGTTGAAAGATACGATCATCTAATAGTGGTTTTAAGCTAATTAAATTAAATTTACTTTTTTGTGTTAAATTACTATGTAAGAAAAATATCTTTTATAATTCTTTTTTTATTATTATTATTGACAGCAAATATATATTTTGTGTAGATACATTGTATTTAGACAAATGTAGTTTCTTAACTTTGTAAGCACATTGTATTTTGACAATATAAGGTACTTAATCTTTCATACTTGCTATAATTTGACACAGAGCAAAATTTACGTAATATTTCTATGTGAAAATCTTTACATATAGAACAAAAATGAATGTTGAAGAAAGTTTTATTAATATCCAAATATTATGGATTTTATGTGTAATGTTAAGGTAAATGTGTCTATTGCCTTAACATACCAAGGAAAATATATTGCTAATATTGACGACAGATTGCCTAATTTAATATGGCAGGTCTTTTTTAACTTTTCTTTCAAAAAAAATATATGGCATGATATTGCTTTTTTATTCTCGATCATTATTACCATAATTAAATTACATATAGTATAAATATATTATATATGCATATTCTCGATCATTATTACCATAATTAAATTACATATAGTATAAATATATTATATATGCATGCATCAAATGAATTTTACACAACCAACTAGAGTTTACATTGCTATTTCTTTTGAAATACTCAATACAAACATTTATTCATAACAAACCTGTTTGTTTTATAATGGCTGCTACTGCGATGCTATTGCTTGTTATGGTATACTTATTCCTTAACGTACACCATACAGGTACATAATTTAATTTCAATTACAACTTACATGTATTAAGTTTTACTAGTGTTAGTCTAGTTGGTCTAATTTTATTTTATTTTCTAATAGTTCTGATCTAACTTGGTTTGGGTTGCTCTAATATAATGTTCAATTATGATTAAAATTTGACGTTATTTTTACAATAATGAATCAAGTTTAACCTATTGGATTACTCAATTTATGATTTGTAATTTCCGTAAATTTTATAATTTAAATGCATAAACTAATAAAAATTTAGGCTATGCTTAAATATAATTATTGGAATTAGTTGAAACGAACACATTTCGGATCCCTTTATTTAATTAGCTAGTCTTTTTGTTCTTTTATATTTTACATAAGGGTTAATATAATCTAAATCTTACATATGATTGCAGTGGGACAAGTTGGAGTGTGTTACGGTAATGTTGCAGATAACTTGCCATCTGAGCAAGATGTCATCAATCTTTACAAGTCTAACGGAATAGAAACAATGAGGCTATTTAATCCCAACACAGCAGCTCTCCAAGCCCTACAAGGCTCCGGCATCAAAACTATTCTTGGTGTTGTTAACGGAGATCTTTCGGGTATAGCTTCCGATCCAGCAGCTGCCACCAATTGGGTGCAAACCAATGTCGTCCCTTTTGCAAGTGCAATCAAGTACATTGCAGTTGGTAATGAAATTCATCCTGATTATGCGGAAGCCCCGGCAGTATTACCAGCAATGCAGAACATTCTCAATGCACTCGTTGCAAACGGCTTAGGGGGACAGATTTTGGTTTCTACGGCCATTGATACGAGCTTATTCACAAATACCTACCCACCATCTGCTAGTGAATTCAGTAATCCAGGATACATTACCCCGATCATCAACTTTCTAACCACCAATGGTTCGCCTTTGTTGGTTAATATTTATCCATACTTCGCTCGTATTAGTGACCCTGAAAATATAAGGCTTGACTATGCATTGTTTACTGCACCTGGTCCTGTATTTTCTGATAGTGGAAGGGACTATCAGAACTTATTCGACGCAATTGTGGATGGTGTGTTCGTGGCTTTAGGTAAGGCGGGTGCACCTAATGTAGGGGTTGTGGTGTCAGAAACTGGATGGCCGTCGGAAGGTGGAGCTGATGCCACGGTCGACAATGCAGGGACTTATTATCGGAACGCGATCGGCCATGTTAAGCAGGGGACTCCATTGAAACCAGGAGGAATTGAGACTTATCTGTTTGCAATGTTTGATGAAGATAACAAACCAGGAGCTCCAAGTGAGCATCATTTTGGTCTCTTTACCCCTAATCAACAGCCTAAGTATGGTGCTCTCAATTTCAATCCATAGATTACATTATTAATGTTGAAAAATTGAAGTGATATTCTGATGCAATTGTATGATTCATAGTTTATGTTTATGTTTAGTTTTTAGGAGTATTAATTAAATAAGAGTAACTACCTTTGTTACGAAAACTCATGATAAGAAATAAAATTGTTATGTTTTGGATTTTTATTATACTTTTTATTCATGTTGATTTGTGCTATGATGGCATTATACTTTTATGCATGTTGAAATTGAAAATGTGTAATGATGATATTATACGGATATTAGTTTAATAATACTCTCTGGTTAATTAAATAAAAAAAATGTGGTAATGATTAATGAAGGGCTGGAAGAAAGTTGGAAGGAATGAGTCAGATTTGTATCTGTTAATCTTGGCTGAAATTATGGAATAAAATAATTCTAAAGGATACCAAAAAGGAATAATTTTTTTTTTTTTTTTTGGTGTTTAGAGAGAGCCACAAGGGCAGGGGTGAGAATCGATCCCAAGATTTCCTGAAATCGGGAGGGAAGCTCTACCACTTGAGCTATCCCTCACTCTCATAAATTTGGTGTATTTTATCCCTAATAATTATGTAATTATAGAATTACATGTGACTTATAATGTAACTAGAATGTGATACGATATTTTATTAGGTTAATTTCTAAATTACCCCCTAAAAATGTTACCATTTTCGAACTAACCACCCGTTTAATTTTTTATTTTAAATTACCACCCTTTAAATTAAATAAATGCTCATATTATCACCCATTTCAAAAATCCGGTGGATTTACCGTCTGTAGGCCTCACCTAACACTTATTTTGATCCTTTTGACTTATTTTTCCCCGATTTTTCTCTTTAAAAACGCTCTCTAAACTTAATTCACTTTTCCTTCACTAAATTCTACCAATTTTCAAAGAGAAAAATGTGAATTGAAGTTAGGAGAGCGTTTTTAAAGAGAAAAATCGGGGAAAAAATCAGTCAAAAGGTCAAAATAAGCTTTAAGTCAGGCCCATAGACGGAAAATCCATCGGATTTTTAAAATAGGTGGTAATTTGAGCATTTATTTAATTTAAGGGGTGGTAATTTAAAATAAAAAGTTAAACGGGTGGTTAGTTCGAAAATAGTTACATTTTTGGGTGGTAATTTAAAAATTTTCCATTTTATTATATACTTTGTTTAAAAATTGCTCGACATTGTTGACTATAAATCTTGGTCAAAGGGAGACCCACTATAGTACTATTCTCTTGTTATGTTCTCTTCACCTTGTGTTTTGATTGGATTGGTTCTAGACTTCTAGTCTAATAACTCTAATTTAAGTATTTTGAAGTCTTGTTTAAATTATTTCTACTTTAGTATAATATGAGCCGTTTTCTTCATAATTTTGTGAATTGCTTAGTCTAATATAATCTTCTCTAATTTTTAACAAAATCTAGTAAATCATACGAAGGAATAGTAAGTAGGTTTAATGTCTCGATCACTGGCCACTGATGTATTTAATTTACTTCTCACTAATGAATTTGCCTATAAGAGCTATATAGCTAATACATTTGATGCAAGTCATGCAACATAGTGTATGCGCTGCAAGCATTACACTCTAGCTATGAACACGCAAATAAATTAAGATCTAACTGGGAAGGAGAAGTGTGTTTCAATATGTTCAAAGATCGAGAGAATTTTAATTGGGTTTATTGTTAAACTCAAGAATAATATTGTAGATAAAACGACTTAGCCTTTGCATTGATAATTCGAAATTTAACGTTTATAGGGAAAATTCAATCAAGCTTCTTTGTCAAACAATAAATTGTACGTACATATAAACTTTTGGTCATTTATAATTTTCTTAGTATTACACACGTCTTTTAATTTTAAACTGTTAGAAAGAACTTCTATGGTAGACTTGTAGTACGTAGTTGATACTCCAATAAGCTCCTTTCATGCATTAAATGAAGCATTGAATTTTCAAATTTGAGGAAAAAAAAAAAAAAACAAGAACAAAAACACTACCCTAACAGTGTGGGAAAATGGGAATTATTTGTTCATAATAATATTAATTTCCAAGATGTTTTGGCATATAATGTAGAAAATAATGGGGGTAATACTGGGTCATTGCCTAACATTTTTGTGGAATAAACAAATAATAGTATTGGCTCATTGCCTAATAATGTGAATATGTGATCTATATAAAGGGGCAGATGAAGGACATCAAAACATCAACGCATTTTAGTTTTTCTTCTTCTAGCTTAGTCTACAAGTAGTGTTAAACACATAGCCACTGGTTTCTTTATCATGTTTTCCATGGCTACTCCTAGCAATTCTCCCATGGTCGTCGCCACGATACTGTTCAATATAGCATTCTTATTCCTTAGCTTACACTCTGCAGGTATAAATATACAGATCTATCTAATAATCTAATCTTTGTTGTTTTTAATGTTGGTTATTGAGTACGTCTTGCTGCATATACTACCTCCGTTACAGGTTATGTGAAATGATTAGATATTTTTTCTTTCTCTGCTTTATGTCAAATCGTTGCATATAACCTGTAACGAAAATAGTATATAGTACATAACAATACTTGAAAGTTGTACTTTTTTTTTCCTTTTCTCATTTGATAACATTATTTTCAAATTTGCAAAAAGTATCAAACAAGCAAAAAAAAGTTACTCTTACTCTACCTCTATATGTACACTTAGGTGACGAGGTGAGTAGCAGAACTTTTTATTAATACTCTATATACGCGAAGTATAATTGAGAAGGTGTCACAATGCACGTATGTACACTGATCTGACATTTATGACCTCTCTAAAACATAACAAGTACGGAGTATTAAACAACATTATATTGGAGATGTCAAATTAGTAATCCAATCAGGTTTAGGAAAACATCCATTTTATGATGGACCATTCAAAACGTACTCAAATTGAGTAAAACATTTATATATAAGTCTATAGTCAGTTATTTTATAGAAAACAAATATGTTTCAGTTTGGGGCTACAACTTAATCGGATCAAACAAGGTCAAGTCAACTCAAATGGAAAAGTTTGGGTCTAGTAAATTTCGTATGGTCTAAATCATACGCGTTCATACCTTAAACCTGTACTCAGCTCAGTACTAATCAATGTGCAATAATTGAATGAATGCAGAGGCGCAAATTGGAGTATGTTATGGGGGCAATGGAGACAACTTACCATCCAAACAAGACGTCGTTAACCTCTACAAATCCAACCAAATAGGAGCTATGAGGATCTATTCTCCTGATCAAACTCTCCAAACCGCCCTACAAGGATCAGGAATCAAAATCATCCTAGATGTCCCCAAAGACAACCTTCAGTCTCTAGGGTCGGATCAATCAGCTGCTAACCAGTGGGTTCAAACCAATGTCGTTCCTTATGCATCATCAATAAAATACATCGCGGTAGGGAATGAAGTCCATCCGTCTGATTCAGAAGCCTCGTCAGTCCAACCAGCAATGCAAAATGTTCTTAACGCATTGAACTCAAACGGTTTAGGTGGTCAGATTAAGGTTTCTACGGCCATTGACACAACCTTAATCACAAATTCTTTTCCACCATCCAACGGCCAATTTACTGACTCGTCATACATCACCCCAATAATCAACTTTTTAAAGAGCAATGGTTCACCTTTGCTGGTTAACGTGTATCCTTATTTTGCTTACATAAATAATGAGGCGCAAATCCGTCTTGACTATGCATTATTCACTGCCTCTGGTACAGTGGCTAATGATCCTAATAATGGATTGAACTATCAAAATCTATTTGATGCACTTGTAGATGCAGTGTACGCGGCTTTAGGGAGGGCCGATGCACATGATACCGCCATCGTAGTGTCTGAGAGCGGATGGCCATCAGAAGGTGGAGACGCTGCCACAACGGTGGACAATGCAGGAACTTATTACATGAATTTGATAAGTCATGTGAAGCAGGGGACTCCTTTGAAACAACAAGGAATTGAAACTTACTTGTTTGCTATGTTTGATGAGAATAACAAACAAGGAGCTCCCACTGAGCAGCATTTTGGACTTTTTAGTCCTGATCAACAGCCCAAGTATGGCCAACTAAATTTCAATTGATAACCTAAGGAACAAATATAGTGCTGATAAATATAAACCAAATAACGGGGATATCCCCAGATGTGATAACTTGCAAAGATTAGAATTAAAATGCTATATACATGCTTCTATTTATCTTTACATCTCTTATCTATATTTGGATTTAGTTGTCACGTTGTCTCAATCTTTTATACATACTTATTTTGCATAAAATTAGGTCAACACCCTTTATAGTAGCTGGTCGATTTTTTTTCTTTTATAGTTCAATCGATGCGAAGCATTATTTATACACCAATAAGTAGTACCGATTACAAAATGATAATCTCACTCTCCACAAAACTTTGATGATAAAATAAAATACTACATAAAAACTTCTCCCCTAAGTGTTTCGCTCCTCCTATGCTTACCTTGTACCCACTTTCTCCGGCTATACTCACCGTAGAATTCATCTTGCTCTTTATTTTCTCCATTTAAATGTAGGGCTCATTTATATCAACCTAGGGTGCACTTTTTTTTCCGATGACTGCCACAAAGTTCAGGCAATTTGATGAAGCTATCAGAAATATTAGGGTAAATAATTAGATGGAGTGTATGTCTTTCCCCCTTATCAATGCATAAAACCAATCATAAATACAATTATTAGATAATTTATAATAGTTTGAAAAATATATAGAAAACATAACAAGAACTCACACCTTGAGAATTAATTACCAAAGATATTTTAAATATAGCATGAGAGAATAGGCAAAAGTCAAAATGTTGGAAGTGAAACCAAAGGAAGTATAACTTAAATTATTCTAGTCTCTCTGATTAGTTGACATAAACAAAGTTACAGGAGCTTTATTGGTAATAAACATAAACTAGAATCTGAGATAGATTAAGGCAAAAGGCATAAATCGAACTATAAGATTACATCATGGAACAGATTTGTTATCAGGTGTACAAAAAAATAAGTCAATGTGATGCTGTTATTCAAGTAATTGAAGCTTGAAGCATGTACAAATTACAAACTATTTTACAATAAAGCCATAAAGGTGTTCTAAATTCTAACTAGGTCTGTTATGAGCTTCTGATTTCTGCAACTATGGTGAATAATAGTAACTACAGAGGCAACAGGGGTAAGTTTACAAATGAATGTACACGATCACAGATCTTTACGACCTGCACTGTAAAACATATCCAGAAGAAAAAAGTTAAGCAGAAACATTTTTCAGCAAAATATAATTTGCTTGTAATATAATGTAATGATTTATCTTTCGCTAGCTTTTATTTCATAGAGGACTAATGAATGGCAGGTTATCATTTCTGCAAATCCAATTGTCAAATTTTCAAAGATGACTCGACTCCTTCAGCCTGGTGCCAATTCTGGCCTGTCTGGAAGGAGCCACCCCCTCCATATGTATTTAGTAGTCACATTGCCTCATGCCCTCACAATTAAGGATCAAACATGATATCACAGAATGACCCGAATGCCTTAATAAAAGATGCCAGTTCTGCATCACTTTATGTAGGTAATCCCAATTTAGAAAATTTAATCACTGTTCAGAAGGTGACAACATTTTGCAGACAATGAAACTACTAATTCTGAAAGGATGGAGGTTATACTATTCTTCTTAATCATTAACCTACTCACAGAAATTAAGTATTTGGATTTTTGGAAGGCTTCTTATCATCTTTTGTACAGAGGTTTTGAGGGAAACTGAACCAAGGAAAATCATGCAGTTCCTTAAATCCCTGACCTTTATCCATGCTTATTAAAAATTAATTCGTACTTTGTATTTGAATAAAAACTTATTATCTGACTAGGCTGAAAAAAAAAAACATTTTTAGACCTACGTAACAGATTCTGAGATCATGAGGATAGTTAGGAAGACTAACCCCATCAAAAACAACAATTATGTTCAATTTTGTCACGTATCATCAGGTTTTGCTGGAAGATTGATTTGCTATAATTATCATCTCAGCATCCGCTTCATGTACTTCAGTGCAGATCTTAACATTGATCTAGCCTTCCTATCTGGGGTGCAGCCAGACAATATCATTTCCTCATAGACAGAAGGAACCTGAAGTATATTAAACAATTAGTATATCACAAAAATATAGTGTTTTCCATTTTTCAGATGTTATAATGTTGATATATGCAACCTTTCCTACACTGCATCTTGCTTCTAGTACAATACCAAGTCACATATTACTAAGTACTAACTGTATCATCGTGTTCTGTATTTTGCTGCAAGAAGTGCATTAAAGCAATAAAGTGGACAAGTGCCCATATACAATTCTTCATTAAACTTATCTGAAACCAGATAATCCCATATCTGTCAGGGCAGGGCTGCCTCGCTAGTTGACATGGCTGGTCAATTTGAAAAAAACAAATGCCCAAATTCTAAAACCACAACATAGCAATGAGAAAAGAAAGAAAAAGTTCATAATTCTTTTTAGTTGTTCAGTAAAAACTCACAAATGGGACATAAGTTAACATAAGAACAAAATATGCCCTGGTCAAGTCTCAATACCACATTGATGACATCTAGCCGAAAGTATAATACAGTAGAACCCTTTGTCTAACAGCAAAAGGCAGCACTCAGGAGTCAGGACTACAAGGGATTACAACAGAGAATGTATTATACTAGATTAGCAATAGAATCGATTGTGTAACAATAATTGGCATTGAAAAACAACAAATGCAGAAAATGATTGTAGAGTTTCTATAGATTTGTATACGATGTACAAGAATGTAGATATTCTTACCTTATCAAACTTTTCAACACGGATTAACGCTTTCATAAGGGTTGTATATGTAACTACATCAGGTTTCAAGTCCTGCAAACCACAGCCAATAGAATAATTAAGCAGAAAATAATTTAATTCATTGAGGTGATGAGGAAACAAGCATACCAGCAAAACAATAGCACAACACACAGGACTTACATTTTCTTTCATATACTGTAAAACAGAAAATGCTTCAGCATCCCTTCTGTCCTCCCCAAATGCATTGATCAGTGCATTGAGAGCTAAAATACTAGGCTTGAGGCCATCTGCTCGCATGAGCCTAAATGCATTAATTGCTTGGTCTGATAAACCCTGCAAGTCAAGAAGGTACTTAATACACATATGATCAACCAACGCAATACGATAACTAACCGCTGCCTAGTATTAAGCCCGTAAAGCAGGAAGGTTTGATTCAGTATAATATTCAAAACAAGTGAATCCCACCCCACAGCCAGTTTTGCAACAACTAAAGGCCTGATCATATCATCATACTATGATCTAAAACTTGCTCATATAAACAATTTGCACTACAATCCATCAATAGATCTTCAACTCAACACATATAACCACAAGATTTTTATAATGAACATTTTGTCAATAATTTATGAGCAAAATAGCAAGAACTTGAAGAAAAGACACAATTCATACCCTTTGAGCATAGGCATTGATCAAGGCATTGTACATGGTCTCCGAAGGTTTCAATCCATTCGCTTTCATAACCTCTAGGCATTCAATGGCCTCCTTAAATCTTCCTGATTGCCCGTATATATCAACCAGAGTGGTATATGTCACAACATTAGCCAACAATCCTTGACCCTGCATCTTTCCCATTAAAGTCTTAACCTCTTCCCATTTCTCCTGCACACCATAACAGTGGATCATAATATTATACGTAGTTATACAAGGCGCGCACCCACTTTCTTGCATCTCTTTGAACAACTCCTCTGCCTTATCATACCGCCCACACTTACAATGGCTATCAATCAATGTATTCCATGTACAATTGTCTGGCTCGATCCCCTCCAATTTCATCTTCTCAAAGGTATCCATAGCATGATCCATACAATTATACTTCCCCAAAGCATCAATCATCACATTATAAAATAACCTATCAGGCTTCACCCCACAATTCCTCATCTCCCTCAACACTTGAAACGACTTCTGCCAGTCCCCTCTATCGCGATAACTAGCTAGAATCCTACTAAACACGAACGAATTAGGCCCTACATTACTAGCCTCCATCTCTTTCAACACAATCCTAGCACTCTCCCACCTCCCAGCATTCGCATAAGCATCAATCAACAAGCTATAAGTATGCTCATCAGGCAAAACCCCAACCCTTTCCATCTCCGAAACAATGGATTCAGCATCCCTCAACATCCCAGCCTTCACATATCCCCTCAAAACCGCGTTATAAGCCCTCGTCCTAGGCCTCAACCCACCTTCCTTAAGCTCCTCGAACACGGCCTCGGCCTCCTCGGCCCTCCCGGCATTCCCCAACGCCGAAATCACAGAAATAAGCGTAGCAGTCTTGGCACTCAACCCATTCCCCTGAACCACACCCAAAAACCACAACGCCCTATCAACATCCCCAGACTTAGCAAACCCAACAACCAAATCATTCAAAAGCTGAGCATCAAGCTCAACACTATCACATTTCATCTCCTCATACAATCTAACCAAAACAGACGAATCCCCATGATTATTATTATTCGTCCTCGCAATTGACTGCACAATCAAACTATAATTCACAAAATCAGGAGGATACCCATCTTGCCGCATCCTAGACATCAAATTTAGGGCTTTTTCGAGGTCATCATTTCGAGCACAAGCTCCAATCAAAGCATTATAAGTTAACGGGGTCAATTTCTGGCGCTGCGAAAGGAGAAACGCTTCGTAAAGCTTCTCCGACTTCCCCAAAGCGTGGATTAAGATGGAGTAGAGGAGCTCGTAAGAGAAACAGAGATTGTGTTTCTGCAACCAGGTGACGACAGCGTAAGCGGTGGAGATGGTGGTGGGGGAAGAAGCGAGGGTTTTGAGGAGGGAGTGCCAGTAGTGAGTGGGTACTGCGCGGTATGACTCGGCGAGTTGGAACTCGGTTGAGTCGAGTGAGTTGGTGGGGGTTTCGGAAGGAGGAGATGTGGTGGAGAGGTAGTTGATGAGAGGGGAGAAGTCGTAGCGGTTGCGAGAGGTGGGGAGGATGTCAACGTCGTCGTTTCGGAAGTCGGTGGTGAGGTTGTCGGAGAGGGTGCCGGAGAAGGTGGTGGGGAAGGGTGGTGGAGAGGAGAGGATGCGGCGGAGGAGAGGTGGAGAAGAGAGGAAGGGGTGGTGGTTGTGGTGGAGATGGGGTGGAGGGAAGAGGGTGGGGAGTGGAGGAGAGAGAAGGAAAGTGTTCATGCTTCAATTGTGGTTGAGTGAGTGAAAGGTGGGAACAAGACGATGATGTGGAGTAATAGAGGGAATAGATTTTGACGATAGTTTGGTTATGTAATGGCATTTTTCTAAACATCTATAGTAATATATAAAGTGAAAGGGGGTTTTGGGTGATAAATTTTTCTTTCCCAAAATACCCTTCTCATCTTTTATTTTCTTTAAAAAAAATACCTTTATTTTTTTTTTTGAAAAAAAAAAAAAAAAAAACTACCTTCATTTTTTTTTGAAAAATAAAAAAAATAAACTACCATTCTTTATTAAAAATTAAAAGCTAACTATTTTTTTATTTTTTTAACTTTTTTTTAAAGGAAGTCATATCCATGATTTCATCAATTTATAAAGTCACTAATATATTTAGAATTTGGAAGATAATATTTCAGAAAATAAAAATAAAAATCAAGTCATATAGCTTTCTTATCTTGCACACGCAATTTTGCGTGTGTCTCCTACCTTGTATTAATAAATCATCTTATTTAGCATGACAATTTTGTAATTATGTGAACAACTTTTATTAATATGCGGGTCTCACTTATGTTGACTTATTTATGAAAATACCATGTTGTTTGAGATTTTTTTATTGATTTAGGGCGTGTTTGGCAAAATATTGTTATGAAGGTACTTGTTAGTTGTGAATGAAGTTGTTAGCTGTCTAAGTAGCTTTTAACTGTCAACAAGTTGTAGCTGTGAAAATAGAATATTGAGGTATGAGTGTTCGGTAAAGTAACGGTTGACTAGCTATTACATGTAAAATCAATATTTTACATTTAAAACTAGGGGTGTTCAAAAATACCCAACCCGGTTCACCCGACCCGTTGACCCGCTGACCCGGCAGATTTTAGCGGGTATTTTTGTTGTTTTTTTTCAAAATTAGCGGGTTGGGTACCCGACCCGGTAAAACTGAGATTTAGCGGGTCGGGTCATGGGTATTTATAAAATATATATATTGCTAGGAAATTAGGGTTTTATGCACAGTCGTCACTCACTCTTTCTCCTTTAAGCACCCACCTTTCTCTCTCCTTCAAGCAGAACCCACCTCTCTCTCTCCTTCAAGCACCCACCTCTCTCTCTCTCCTTCATTCATCTTTCTCTCTCCTTCACTCACCTATTGCAAATAAGCAATTTCATTGCAAACATCAAGAGCAAGCCTTCATCAACCCAAAAAATCGAACCACTGCACGCATCGTCGGAGATAGGCTTGCTGGAAACCGCGCGGCCGAGCTTTAGTTGCTGGAAATCGTCGGAGATAAGCCATAGTCGAGCTTTAGTTGTGGACTTGCGGCCCTATTCATCCTCCAAGAAAGATCCTTGTCAAGTTCAATTTGATAATTTAACTCTTATTAATGTTAGGAATATTATGATTTCTCTAATATTTTGCTCAAAATTTGGTAAGATCCAATTCACATAAATTCTCAATGGTTCTTCATTTGTGAATGTTTAAGGTGTTTTGTCTATTTTATCTCTCTTAAGTATATTATTTGTGGTTGTATGCTTGTATCTAAATTTTATGTTCTCAATTTCTTTTAATTCCTTAGTTGAATCTTAATTATCTTCAATTTGTGTACAAGAGTATTTTTTTTTTAATGCTTTCAAATGCAAACATTAAACATTATTTATTTAATTTTTTTTTTTTACTTTTATTCGGGTACCCCTCTGACCTGACCCGGGAATTTCGGGTACCCCTCTGACCTGACCCGGGAATTTCGGGTACCCCTCTGACCTGACCCGGGAATTTCGGGTACCCCTTAACCGGGTACCCGGATTTCTTGGGTCGGGTCATGGGCCGAGTATTTGACTCTCCAAAACCTCGGGTACCCGCATTTTCGGGTGATACCTCAAAAGCTACTTTTAACATTTCTAACTTTTCATATAAGCTAACTCTACCAATAAAAGCTAACATAACTACTACTTTCTCACACACTCCCATTTTTTGTTAAGTAATGGTTGATGAGAGGGGAGAAGTCGTAGCAGTTGCGAGAGGTGGGGAGGATGTCAACGTCGTCGTTTTGGAAGTCGGGGGTGAGGTTGTCGGAGAGGGTGCCAGAGAAGGTGGTGGGGAAGGGTGGTGGTGGAGAGAGGATGCGGAGGAGAGGTGGAGAAGAGAGGAAGGGGTTATGGTGGTGGTGGTGGAGATGGGGTGGAGGGAAGCGGGTGGGTAGTGGAGGAGAGAGAAGGAAAGTGTTCATGCTTGAATTGTGGTTAAGTGAGTGGGAGTGGTGAAATGTGGGAACAACCGAACCATAGTAGAAGATGATGATGTGGAGGGAATAGTTTTTTTGGTCTTTTACTCTTTTTGGGATGTTGAATCATCCACGATTGCAAAATACACCCCTTTCAACTGTGGAGTTTTCTCTTTCATAATTTTAATCTCGTCTTTTCTGAGTCGTTATACAACAAATTACCTACGAAACACTTCTTTCATGTTTTAATAAGCGGAGAAACGACTTTAAATTATTATGTATGTCAGTCTCAGTAGAGCATACATTAAAACAATTCTAAAAGTGAACAGAGTATTATATAGTACGAGTAACTAATGAGTAGTCATAATGTTACTCAGGTTGCTATTGTCGTAGTCTTGTAGATGTACAAATCAATAAATTTTATTAAACGCTTTTGAAAACTGAATTTTTTTTCTTTTTCTTTTTTTTTTACGCTTTTACTTCGTATTAATTAAACCAAGAGGCTTAAATCAGCCATAACTAAAGAATATACATCAGTTGGGAATTCTTCTAACCAAACTATAAGCTCACTAAACTGATTACATAATTTGGCAAGCCTATGGGCAACGCAATTGCCACTTCTCATTACAAAGGAATAATACTTCCTGACACATCAGAGCAAGTTGCAATATATCATTTACAATCATACCAAAGGTTGTAGGATGCACTAAGTCCTTCACCAAATAATGATTATGGAGCTTCAAGCAATCAAAACTGAAATTAATCTTATCAAATCAAAATTGAGTTATTTGTTTGAATTTATTATTATTATTATTATTATTAATTGAAACTTTTTTTAAAACGAGACTATTAATTGAAATTTGTAGTGTCATTTATATAATTTTGGGTAAATCATTGTACTATGGAGGTTTCTCTATTCTCGAACATTTTGTCTCTTGATTAATATATATATATATATATATATATATATATATATATATATATATATATATATTCATCTTTGTTATAAAATGTTGAGGGTTTCAATCTTCTTATCGAGCACGTTGTCACGTGCTGACTAATTCCCCTAGTCTTATGCACGCTAGCCTACTAACTTCCCTCCCTCGGATGCTAGTCAAGGCTCAACCCCGAAACGCTTCAAGCAAGAATGTGCAACGAAAGCTAAGGAATGTTGAGAACACAAGAGGATATAAATATTTTGAATGCTTTGATAGCTTGAGAGAGAGTGTTTACAAGTATTTTCTGAGGTGCCTCCAAATGAAGGCCAAGTCCCCTATTTATAGTGTTCTAAGCATGGCCTAGAACCTTCACTAACCTCCTCAAATAGAGGGTTCTAGATCTAATCCTTTCTAGAGTATTCTATACATTTCTTTAGTACATTCCCTCTATATACAAGGCTCTAGAATTATCTACTCAACTCTAGATTTACAGATGTTTCAAGGATGTCCTAGGAGGTTCTAGAAGCTTCCGGATGCATCTCGAGTCTCCTTGAGTATTCTGGAACCTTCCGGACTTCTCCTTCAAAATCTAACACCACCATGGTGTTCTTTGGGCCTAAATATGGTGGACCCCCAAATTTGGGCTCAATCGGACTTCATTTAGGTCCCCAAATAGCCCTTTATTGTGTTACTGTCACTTGGGTGTTCACTAGGGTGAGTACTGGAGCAATATAAAGCTCTATAGGGGGAGGGTGTGTCTGGCCTAGCCAGTGTGCACCAAGGGCATTCCCCCTGGCCACGATTGTTGCCTCCCGTCCAATGGCCCTAGTGAGGAGTGGAATGTGTGGGTCGTGACATGCTCCCCCACCTAAGTCTTGACGCCCTCGTCAAGATCCCGACTCGAATGCCTCGATCTTGTCCGCAAATTGCCATAAATCTTCTTCTTTTTCCCATGTGGCCTCGCTGTCCGGGAGACCCTTCCAACGAACAAAGTATTCATTGTAGCTTGGCACACCTCGACGCCTTATGACTCTCTTTGCCTCGATGCTCTCGATGTCCCTTTCAAATGATGCTACCACGGCCGTAGGTGCCCGTTGTGATTTTCCCCTGGTCTGATCCTCTAGATCGGCATGGTAAGGCTTCAACATGCTAACATGGAACACCGGATGTATTTTCAGCTTGGGAGGTAGCTCAAGCTTATAGGAAACTTTCCCGACCTTCCTAATGATCGGGAATGGCCCTTCATACTTCCGCACTAGTCCCTTATGCACCTTGCGGAAGACTTTGAATTGGTGTGGCAAGAGCTTCACCATGACTAGGTCGCCTTCTTGAAACTCCAATGGGCGCCTGTTTTTGTCGGCCCACTTCTTCATCTTCTTAGCAGCCCTATTCAAGTAAGCCTTGGTGATGTCGAGCTGCTCGTGCCATCCCTTAGCTAATCTGTAGGCAGCGGGACTGCTACCCGTGTAGCCCGATACAACTGCTTGTGGAGTCAAGGGTTGTTGACCCATGACTATCTCAAAGGGGCTTTGCTGGGTTGCCTCGGACCGCTGCAGATTAAAGGAGAATTGGGCAATGTCTATGAGCTTTGCCCAATCTCGTTGATTGGCACTCACAAAATGCCTCAAATAGAGCTCCAACAAAGCGTTCACTCGTTCTGTCTGCCCATCCGTCTGCGGGTGGAAGCTTGTGGAGAAATGTAGACCTGCCCCTAGCAGCTTAAAGAGCTCCGTCCAAAATTTGGCGGTGAACCTTGGATCACGGTCGCTGATGATGCTTTTTGGCAAGCCCCAGTACTTGACCACATTCTTGAAGAATAACTTGGCGGCTTGCTCCCCTGTGCAATCCTTATGTGCCGGTATAAAAGTCCCATACTTGGAAAAGCGATCAACTACTACCATGATAGAGCCAAACCCCTCTGACTTTGGCAAGGCAGATATGAAATCCATTGAGACGCTTTCC